TTAAACAGTTATAAGTTCCTGATAAATATTTTTTATACATAATTAAAGACAGCAATGCATTTAGAAATACTATAAAATAAAAACTATATAGAAATACAAACAAAAAATTCTTATACTTAGAAAATACGGCATTCTTAAATCATAAAAATACGGACTTTGACAAATAGAGGAAATTTGTAGATAAAATATGAAGAAAGCTTTATCGTACAAATGTAAGCACTAAAGTGCCATAATTTCAGTGTAGAAGGGTGAAATTCCATTTTATCCAAGTTAATATAATGATTCAGAGGAAATTAAGACTTCAGTGATTATACTTATATAAATAGACAAAACCAGGGATTGGAAGTAAATGCATTTAATAAAGTGGTTAAATAAAAATTACTTTTTGTCATATATTCAGTTGGGCCAAAATTAATGTACTTATCGAGATGCCTGAAGTTTAACTTATTTTCCGAAAATAAAAATGCATAAAATGTACAGTATTATCCTGAATGGATGACTTGTATGGTTTATTCCCATACATGGTACCGAGATTGGTGCCTGTCTCTCGTTTGTCGTCGACATGTTTCTTTCTTTTTTTGCCATATTCGTTAATTCAATATTTACAATTGTCGTGTATTAATCTACAATCCCGGAGAAAGGTGAAAATAATGATTATTTTTGGTAAAAGTATATCACAGGAATCTGAGTAATAGGAGTAACAGGAGTAATATGATTGCATGCAAATGTAAAAATGTTACATGAGGAAGGCTGCAGTATTTACCGGATAGTAGTAGATTTACAATGGGTACAATAGACAGTTTGGAGCACAGTAATTTCAAAACCATGTGAAATTACGTCTATAAAATGTCAATTCATCAAAAGTGCTCAGACTAGCATGAGGATGACTCTAGAATTTGGGTATCAAAGTATAGTCATCCCCCAAATCAACCAAAACAACACAAACTGGCTTAAAAGACGATTGTATATCCTCCCTATCCAAAAGAAACAAAAGAAAATCCACTAAAAGCTGTTCAGAAGTCCTATAAGCTTACCTAGATCATAAATGATCGATTGTCATTTTGTATAAAATATCAGGAATGGTCTAATGAAAAATGGAAATGCGTTATATTATCAGACGAGACACAAGTATTACAGTTTTATGTATCTTGTAGACACAGACAGTGGTCGACCAATGAAAGAGACTCTCGACGCTACATCATTTCCACCAATAAGAATGCTGCTAAAGTTATGGTCTGATGTTACTTTTGCATGATTATTGGTTCTTGGCATAAGGAACGTTTTTTAATGGGACTCTCTATCTCGATGTACGAAAAAAGAAGTTGCCATAGTTTGTGGAGATCAACCAGTGCAGCCATTTTATAGAACTCCATAACACTAACCAAGAGCCAAGTACTTATAAGATGATTTGAAAAGATGGGTGATTATGGTCCATGAATTCATCAGATCTGATTCCCTTAGAGAACTGTTGGTTAATTTTAATCTCCATGATTGAGTATTGGGTAGATGACACTGTAGATGTTGTGGGGTTAAAACAGAACACGTCTTAAAGGTTGTTCTGAGAGTAATCTCGTCGTAGCCAAGCACTTTGAGTTGGGGGAAGGTACGATGGGTGGTATAGGAGTTGCCATAGCTCATTCAGTAAAGAACTATGATGCCGTTGGGGCATTTAGGGGCTGTCGCCAAATCATCCGATCTTTTTCAGTATTCGTGTATCTTCATCTTCCATAGTTTATTCCACAGATGAGTTCTTAGGTGCAACGATTGCACCTTTGTAAGACCATGTCTGTTCAGTGCAGGTAAGAGCCCATAGCTTGATATAAACGACCTACTATGTGGCCATGATTGTAGTCATTCAATTGGCTGCAAGGTTTTCCGAAACTTTGTAATACATTATTGGTTGTATTTACAGGAAACTGTAACGTTGACAGCGCAAAAGGATAAACCATCTGCAACTTTTACCAGTGTTACAAAATGTTAATCGTGCAAGAAAAAAACCCCGCTGTGGTTGAAGAGTTAAAATTCATCACTCTTAGGAATTTCTTTTGTTTATTTGCTGTAATGAAATTTGCATGCATAATTTTTACTCTTTTTTTTATTTGCAAATGAGTGAGTGTATGTGGATGTTTCAGTTTGTAAAATACTTCATTTTGAGTGTTTTTGTTTTTGTTTGAAATTTAAACAGTCGTTAAGGCTGTTGAATTTTTTTCATTTTAATCTATTTCAGTACAAAGCAATGGTGTTGTCAAGTCGGGGGTTCGAGTGCTGATACCACTAAAGATTCTCTGTGTGGAGAGGCAGATGCACGTTAAATCTGTCAAAGCTTAAACTCCTTTGGTTGGGTTGGTGTGAAATTTTAGATAGAGGGATGCCGCTATATAGTTGTTGTCCTCGTCATTTTGGCCACGGTTCAAATTTGAAGTTAATTTACCATAGTTCTTGTGTAGCTTTGAAGAGTAAGACGTTAATAAACAATTAATCAATCAAAAAGCGAAGGGTTAATTCAGAAAATTTAAGTAATTATTTTTGAAATTATTGACATTGGATCAATTATTTATATTTTAACAATATTTTATCATCAAAGGCTATATGCACTTTCAAATAACAAGAAAAAGTTTTAGGCAGACGTTAGCGGAAAACTTTGCCCCGAAACATAGTTATGTACTCAACCTTGATTGACTTGTTAACATATTAACACACTTCGCACTAAAGATGCGAAATGCCTTGCTGGCCCTTTTCCAATGCTTTTCTCTTTGAGAACTTACTCTTGTTACATAAGGTCACAATTTGAAAGATGTTTATTGGCTCGCATTCGTGGAGTTCAATAAGAGTTTCAAGTGGAATTTCGGCCTCGTTGGTTTTAAGTATTCTAAGAATCTCTAAAACATTCTAAGTTTAACTTTCTAAGAATTATCAACTTTTGTATATATAGTTGTTTTCTATGTTAAGTAACTACTATCTCAAACACTTTAAAAATGAATCGAATTAATAATGCCATTTACACATGCATACCACGTGTTAAAAATCTCTCACGTGTGCTTACTTACATTTCTTGAATATTTTCCTTTAAAATCTCAATTGTTAAATGATCTACTCAATTCTCAAGTATCGATTTGAAAATAAAAATTTATCTTTTTTACCGCTGTGTTAAAACATGACAAATTCAAGCTATAACATTTATTTGAGGGTTATTTTTCTACTTCAAAAATTAAATCGGAAAAAAAAGTTACATAAACGTGAGTCTGGTAGAGTATTAAACAAATTAAATAATCCATTGAGTTTTCATGACTCAATTTATTAACATTATATTATATTAAAATATTTATAATTTGATAAAAAAGTTATTATATATAGAAGTAGTATTATAATTCTCTAATTTTGGAACGAGTAATTTTTTTTTATCAAAAAAAGAATGTAAAATAAAGAAAAACCAGGATATTTTTACTAAAAAGAATTACAGACTTGTATTTACATAAGAAATAAATATTACAAATAATCTTTAGAAAAGAACAATTTTTTTTTAAATAGAGAGAAGACAAAGAGAAGCACTTATTTTATTTTTAAATCATTACAATATAGAATGATTGACTAACAAAAATGAATTAAAAAACAAAATATTCTTCTGCAAAATATAACAATAATAATAAAACTGAAACGTGTGTTATTCAAAGTTCTGCTTAGAATTATGCTGTGTATATACTAAGAAAAAAAAATTTTTAAGTAATATATTTTCAAATTTTGTGAGTATGTGGGCATCTAATATTTTAAACATGCATTGGAAATCATTTACATTTCTCAAGTTTGTTTTTTACATCTGTGTATTTCGTATTCATAGAAAATAACTTTACAATATCAGATATTCTGAATTTGTTTTAAATAAGTAAAGCTTCTAAGAATGTCATAATAATTGACAAAAGGCTCAATTGAGAGACTTTATAAAATGTATTTTGTGTGATAAGCTTATGCAAATCCTATCGAATTTTGCATTATAGAAACCGAAATCTTGTCACGGCTATAAAACAGTCTGAACTGTTAAAATACTTTACAGTCTAGAAGAATAAGAAGAGAAATTTACTGAATTCTGCAGCAGAAGGTATGGTATTATTGTAGAAAATATTTTGTGTGATATTGAGAAAGACTGTGTGGTAAGGGAATTTCACTGAATGTTGATACAATTTTTTTCTTGTAACTTCTTATAAATCTCTTTCTATAGAGTGGTAACCAATTTAAGACAGTTTTGATTATTTTTCATCTGTTTAAATTTTTTTAGTAATGTTTTCATCTTTTGCTGAAGCCCTGAAATAAATGAAAAACTGACTAACATATGTTATAGAGATAAATACATAAGCCTGGTACAGAGATTTTTCAAAAGAATATTTTGTAAGATCTACAACTACTTTTTTCATAAAAAATGGCTAAATGACTCGAGTCAAGCAATTCAATTTATACATTTAGAAAAAAAGGCAAGGATTTGTAAAGATCTCAAAACTGCTTTTATCGGAAGGCCTAGACCAGAATTTTTTTTTCATAAAATAAAATTCAATACGAATATTACATTATAACCCCACAATTCAACAGAATATAGGAAATTTCAATACACATTTTATTTCTTTTTGAACCAATCTATTTGTCATGTGCATATGAAGTTTTACATTTCGCTTTGCATATAGAACAGCCAAACGGTTTTCAACTTCATTTACATTTATTATTTATTTTCTGAAGCAGGAAAAAAAGGCCTTTTTCAATATTCCTACTATTAGTTCACAATCGCCCTATATAAATATATATACCTTCTTCAAATTTTCAATCGTAATAAAATACTTTCTATTCATCCGTTCAAGTTCAAATACATTTTTTAAAACTTGTACTGGATGACACTTGATGTTAATACAGTTTTTCCAAGTATTAATTTATTAGTTAAACTTCATCAATGAATAAATAGAGTAACAAAAAAAAAATAAGTCCAACACCATATAAAAAAAAGGAAAGTCGCTCTTTGTGTTCCTGTCGCGCAATGGATAACGCGTTGAACTTCTAATCCAAAGGTTATGTGTTCGAATGCTAACTGGAATGGCCTAATTTCTGAGAATGTGATTTATGGATGAATAAATAGTAACAAACAAAAACAATAGTACAACACCATATATAGAAAGGAAAATTGCTTTCTATTTTACCACTTAATATTGTGATTATATCATATGTACATGCATATTTCTATTAATTGTGATTATTTAATAAAAAGTAACTAAAATAATATTTTTCTTTGTTGACCTAAGTAGGAATTGACTTTAAAATTATTTTTTATATTACTTGTTACATGTTATAAAAACTTACGATTCAGTATAGTAAATAGTATAGTAAATATGTGCTACAAACGTGCGAAGCTATATACATTTAGAAGTATTTTATCTAAGAAAATATCTCGTATTTTACTTATAATATCTCTATTTTTGTTGTATAAAAACGTGAGTTCAATCCTCTAGGAAAAAAAGAAGCAAACAAAAAGGTCGTAAATCCACTTTATTTATAAATGTTCCCTCGAATTTGATGCCAGACCTTCTCCAGCAGCCTATCATGTTATCTCCAGGATGGTGAAAGACATTAAGAATTAAATTAAATCTATGTATTAATTAGAACTATATAGAAAGGAGTAGAAAATAACTTCCGACGAACTTCAGATTTGTTTCGAATTTGAACTTCACATTATCGGTAATAAGAGTGATGTTGTTTATCTGACAAAAATCAAATGGAATAAAAGATTAGATTTAATTATATTTCATTCACATTTATGGAATCCACAAATTACAATATTTACTCGAATCTATATAAGTAGTACTGTTTTTCAGTGTTAAAACAACTGGAAATTGGGTGTATGTGGATTAGAATCGAAGTCAAAACATTTGTTGGATTGGGAAAATTGAGTTTCCACCCCTTTCAAAAGGAATCCATCCATCCCACCATCCATTCTGGCCACTTCCATGGATCACTTATCCCATTACGCAGTTTGTCTCCAGTATTCAGTCTATCCTAAACATCGCTGTTTGCTCGTATTTAGGAAAAGTTTTTGAATACGCTTTCTTTTAATCACCTAAACATCAAAGATATCGGTAATGGCATCAAGACGAGTTCGCTATGACGCCTGTATGAAAAGGGAGGCAATTTTATATTCAGAATAAAAAGGAAACAGAACAGCGGCCACTGAAAATTTGACATGGATGAAACTAGTATACGTCGATGGCGTAAGCAAAATGATTTAATTTTTGCTTGTAAATGTTCAACAGTCTTTAGTGATTCTTTTATATTTTTTAAAAAACATTCTTTTTATAAAATATTGCATAAAAAATGCATTGGATGGAACGGAAGATGACATCCTGTGGGAAAAGGGCGATGCCGGGACCAATTCCAAAGTCAGATGTGACAATGGAAGCGAAGAATCATTTTCGATACATGATACTGTCAGTTAGAGTAATTACAGTTTCATGTATGCAATTGAAAGTTTTTAAATCTGATAAAAAATTAATTACTAACCCTATTATTTCTCATTAAATTTTTTAAAGAAATTTGTGAGGTATCATATATTGATGAACCTTTTAGGCAATGTTTTATTTTTTCCTCCAAGACCAATTTGGGGTGCGGTTTAGAATTAATGTTAATACTTTTTCACAAAAAACATTTTGAGAATTTCGGGTGAAGATAGAATTGATGATTTTCATTCGGATAAATACTGTAGTTTAATGTAGCTTAAAATCTCCTATTAGAAGTTTTTAAAAAATTGTTGTCGGCATACTATAAAATTTTGAGCTTTGTTCAAATGACGCATGTGACATCGAAGTTAACAATTCCATTTCCAAACTTTCGCACTACATTTTTGAGAACTTTTAAGATTCCGTTTTCTTGCAATTTGATCTGTGTGTGTGTGGGGGGGGGAGAATCTCTAATTCACACACACAACTTTTTTATAGTACACTGGGAATCTATAAGTTAAGATTCTATTGTCACATTGATTGCAATTTAAATTATATTTCATGGATGAATTTTTACGATGAATTAAAATGAAATGTGTTAACTTGCTCTTATCTCTGTAATATTTCTTAAAAGTTTGAATCATATATATTTTTTTTCTTAAGTAAATCTTATGCTACACAAGATTTTAAATTTTAAATAGTTAGTACTATGTGACGGGCTCACGCGTCTTTTCTTTAACATAACCTCTGGGTTCTTTGGTGGCCAAGATTAAAGACAACTCTTTTCCAACCAAAACCCAAGAAGCGAAATGTGAAAAAGAAATGCAAATAGGATAGCTTTTAAATAACGGAAGTTTCAGTAAGTGAGATGGCAATTTTGGGGAATGGTATGTGTGATAGAGAATAGTGTGAATTGACAGCCAATCGTGAAGTTACCTGGAAAACCAGCCATTAATACAAGGTGCATACCATTGCACGCGCGCCCAGACGTTTCCACATAAAGATTGAATCTAAGTTTGGGTTAAGGTAGGACTGATTATTTGATATTAGGACATAATATTATTAGAAGTGAAAGTAGGCGGATAAAATAATTATAACTTAGAGAAAGTGGTCTAACTTACGAGATTCGGTTTAACTATCATTGTGTGTTTGTTCATTATAGATTCTCGCTTAATTAAATTTATCTAAATTGTTAGACATTTAAGTTCTATTCTTAATAAAGTCATATTAAGAATTAAAAATGTCTATTCTTTTTGCAAATCCTACACCTCTAGCTCATGCTGACAATCAAAGATACGGTCACTAAAGGGGGGTGGTATCACAACTGATGAATAGAAAAACGTTTTTTTTTTTTTTTTTTAAATAACTATTTTGAAAAATTGAATCAATCTGAATTTCTATATATACACACAAGATGTATCATAAAAAATTTAATTTACCACTAAAAATAATCGAAATGGAAATTTAAAATTTATTTGCTTTTTTTCTTAAGACAAAACAGTCACAATTCAGAGTTATACATTTTTCCTAGAGTTTCTTGACTGTCGAAGACCGCGATTTATAGCTATACAATATCCTTTTTCAAAAAATGTTTTTGAAGACAGTAAAAATAAAAATAGTTTATGATTTATATTCAGATTATGTTATTAAGTTGATTATGAAAGTTAAAATTCTGTCTGACCAGCCATTATTTTACAATTTTAAAAAAATTAAGAATTAATGGAAGTTTTTTCGAAGTCCTATAAAATGCTCAATTTTTTAAATTGCTTAGTCATTTGAAGTGATTATTATTTTCTTAGATTATTGCAAACAAATTTAGTATGGATTTGAAAATCTGCTCTCTTGTTGGTCTTAGCAATTATTTTTATAGCAAAACCTGGAAAAAAAGCGAAAACTTTTAAAATATAAAGCATTTTTAAAAACAATAACTAGAAATCTTAGACCTAATTCCATTCAAAAACACTTACAGAGCATACGTTTGGGAATATATACAAAAAATTTCAAGACTATGATGGACAGAAAAAATACTTTAGGGATAAGAAAACACTTATAGCTTTTTTAAAAAATTAAGTCTGAGAAAAACGCATTTAAAGTTTGTAGAGGCATGAATCAAAAACTTATAATTTCCGTAAAGCTCTAATTTTTAACAAGTTATTTTCTATATAATGCATGTGCTGTACATTAAAATACTACTTTAATTAAATATGACAAAATAAAACTGTTTTAATTCAAAATATATTTGTGCACAATATTGATAGCATTTGTTACGACGACAGGTTATTCAACTCTTAATCGTATCCTATCATTTTCAAAAAAGTTTTAAAACACAAAGTATTTATGTACACAACAATAACGATGTTAACTTAAGCTAAAAATCGCCAGATTTGTACATAATACAAAATTTTTTTCTGTTTTAAATTGGGGCAGTTTAGTAAGTTTGAGTTTTTGTTGTGTGTGTGTGTGTGAGCTACTTTAAAATATCAAAATATAGTACTGCAATATTTTTTACTATAATGTAGTTTGGTACATCATGGGGAAATATTCAGTTTTATCTACAACAGTGCTTATCAAACTTTCAACTTTTGCGACCCAATGTTCAATCATAATTTTCATCGCGCCCCTCCCCATACAATAATAATGTTATAATTCAATAATATTATACTTTTACGCTAAAGCTACAATACTACTATAACCTCTTTAAATACTACCGGCGTATGTAAACGTCTCGCTCAGCCAAAGCATTAATTGC